CTTTTGTGTGGCTTTTTTTGTATCTGCGATGAACATATCGCTTGATCTTTCTGTTGCTGAAATTTCTTCCGCAAAATGTACTTGTTTGATTACGTTGTGAGGAACCTTCAAACAGACCAGGATAGGTCCGTTTTGATTGTAAATTCACGTAAACTTACTATTTCCACCGGAAACACACGATGTCGTGTATTGGCTGGTCCCTGAGATTTTGGTCTATAAAATCAACGACTATATAAACTATATTTTTTCAGTAAACGGTCCTGAATTAACGAATCCATATTATTTTTAGAATAAAAGAGATAGTGTCTGAATGAGTACATAGTCTATTACACGAACAGACACTCCTTCGCCATCAACACTCACTTACAATTCAATGACAGTATACTCTATGGCCTAACCTTTCTACACCCAGTCAGATATAATTAACCCTCCCTTTGACGATTGTGTTTGTATAAAAAGGGAATCGGGATAATGAACTCTCCCTCTCACTTCTCACTTACAATATACATGACGGGGAACTAAAAATAGAGCTATTGTGATAGCCTAGACCCCATTAAGAAATCTGCTACCGTAAATAAACTTTCCGTTCCCCGGGCTGGCTTTTAGTGTGCTGTTGTGTAAATCCGGTGTCGGCTTTGGCTGTCGTTTATTTTTGTATTGTGATAATAATATTGACTGATATTGACAATTTCTATCATACGTGTTTACGAAGAACTGGTCAGTACACAAAGGGCAAAAAATAGATACCTACAGGGTTCCGTGTCACGACACATTTGTAACATTATCAGTACAAAAACATTTTCTTATTGTCTGTGCCATCAGAACTTATATTCTGCACATGCGTACAATCGGAAGTTTACAAGTACCCGTTGTATTTAAAAAGCACGTACAGAGAAACACTCCGAGCGTCCGATCATTCTTTGTAAGAATATCGGAAAAGCCCTGGTGGTTTTCCGACCGGAAGTACACGTATGGATGGGATTGTGTCCATATAACTATATCCGGAGGTGCCGGAGTGATCTGTTGAGGATTCTTAGAAAAGAAGAGAATTTTTTTGTAAAACTTTATTTCACGAACACACTTTTATATTCACATTTTATTATCTGATGGGATGACTGTTACTGTAATAACTTTAATTTTCGTGGGAGATTCATTTTCATTGTGATAGCTCGGGTACTTTTATTCTCTGTATTTATATGTCCATAAACTGTTAGGTACATTTTTCACGGTTATATATCGAAGTGCCGCAAAGTAGTGTTTTTTTATTTTTAAATATTTTTTTTTTTAATTGAGCAATACGAAAATAGATGATTTTCAAGTGTACAAACATAACGAAATATTTGTTGGTCCACTGATGCCATCTTTCAAAATGATAGCATAAATTCCTATTCATTTCGTTCTAAAATAATCATACCACTAAACTCAACAAAATTTCCTTTTTTCTCTCTATGATACCACCGTTTCAAAGAGGTTGTAACGGCGGCATATTGGAGTCGTTACAAAACTCTATCTGGTATGTTCCGTTATCTCTTCATCTGGTTTATTTATCTTAAGGACTCAGACACACACAATTTCTATATTTCAACTTTTGATCTTGTGGTGAATTTTTTACAGGTTAGATGGCAGAAATTAATTTAGTAGCCTACAATATCGCTGCACTTTTTTTACCGCTACTGTCTTGTTTTAGGGAATATTCATATTCGCGGATACATGATTTAGCGAACGCTGACCTAGAAATGACTTTAAATTTGCGAATGATTAGCGATAAGAACCATGGACTCTTCAAGACTCCGATATCAACAATGATGTCACCAAGAGTTATTTTACTAATAATAGCGAGGGACTTGAATTCGCGTTTGAATTTTCTCGCGTATAAACGCGAATATAAACCCCACGCGAAATAATAATTGATTTACAGTATATATACTGTGTACATATAAAATCGTTAACCTACATTATCACGATTCACGCGATATCAGGATTCTGTGAAGTTTGCGCATGACTGGAAGCTTTCAAATTAAATAAATATCGAAAGTACGAGATTCCATTTATTAAAAAATGTATACAGAATCTGAAATTCAAGAAGATTAAACAGTTTTATGGATCTGAAATCAACCCCAAACACAAATATGGGGAATTTCTCTCAACACTGAAGCTTGAATCATGTATTGTGTTTCCTTCAGTAATATTATTGTTTTACAAGATAAAGCCCGAAGACGTGGTACGGTATCACAATAAGATCACGATGTGTACGAGGATTAAATTGGTGGCACGCGCGATCTCAGTCTGTTTCCATGGTAATGATGGTAAACCACAATAGTGCTCGCTACCACTGATGTCAGAGTTTGTTGACTTTGAGAAGTTTATGTCGAAGAGATCGTAAACAACATAGATGGGGATATTAGATGAGAAGTTTATTTTGATAAAGAACGTGCCTGTTTACACAATTTTGGTTGATTTTAGATAAAAGTGTGATGAAGGTAAATCTTACTGGTACCAATTTTATAAACAATTATACGACATTGTATCTCCTGGGTTCACTTTCTTCTATCCAATCTCGGGACATAATTACAAAAACATATTTGTTAGCATACCTAGTGTATGTTTTTTCTTTAACCGTTAATCAATAGAGGATGTCCATATGGCATGTCTGATACGTTTAAACACAAATTATTTTGAGAATTTCGTGCTGTCGTTCCGTGCTGTCGTCTCGTGCTCCGTTACGTTCTGTAGTACTTATACGTGTTTAACGACAAATAAGGATCGGTACACACCATATTTGGATCGACTGAACAGGTAACGTGTACTTCAATTGTTCGACTGAGCCGGTGTATCACTAGGGCATGCTCTGTCAACAGAGCTATCGAACTTTGGAACACCAAGTGACATCCAAAGTTTATGGTCCGATTCTTACCGAGGTTTGTGTTTCGCAGAAAATCGGGATCACTGACATCCTGCGGTTGAGTCATTGAGTGAAGCATTTTACATCAGTTGCTATGGGCACCATGACACGGGCATGATGGCGGCACGTTTGGGGAATTTCCGGTGCCCCCTTATGATGACCATCGAAGATCAAGTTTCATACCATCATTAGGATATATTTATACAAATACAAAGTAAAACCGGTTTTCTTGTTTTATGCTAGGCTGTATTTGTGTCGCGAGAAATCGTGAAGTTATTGGTTTTTAATTTCATAGACTACTAATTGTTTGATAATGCATCGAAACCAGGAAACTCAACCCGGAACATAATAGATAAGTCCGCTCTGTAGGACTTTTTACATTTGATCGACAACATCATTAACAAAGTCTTTATAATTTAAAGACACCATTAAAAGACGATTATTGTATTGCCAGCTAGGAGCATAATGTGACACGTCATGTGACACACCATGTGATAATAAAGGGATACATATGTTACGTCATGATTACACGACCGACATCCGGTTTGAAATATTTTCTGTTTCTGAAGAGTTGATTGAAAAATCTCATTATAGTAATTGCAACAATCGTTTGACCTTAAATTGGTTGATTGTTGCAAAAAGTCCAGCCGATCGATTGATCACGTGACTTAGCAACCTCCTCTTGCAGCTGCCCGAATGGATTGCAGGGCCACACTAGGACATACACGAAACCCAGGTTTTAAGTGAGTCATGTGTAAATTAATTTGGCTCTGCTATCCTTGTTTTCCGATAAATGTTTCCCCCGAGAGAAACACAGAAATTGTAACTACACAAATGGCACTACAACTCAATTACATGACTAGTTTTTCCATGTGCTATCATCTGCCCACTAAGTAGCTATTGTGGACAGGATAAAAGAGGCTGTAGAGGGGGTACCGAGTGGTCACACCGAGGTTATGATCTCTCTTCCGGGAGGAAAGCACAATAAAAGGCCTTATGTGCAAGTCTGACATTGGCTATATCCTTCAAAAGCCGACCAAACTCGTGCGTCATCGAGAATTTCTATATTCGGGTGACAATCATTTAGTTCATAACAAAACTACATACATGTATTTACCGTTGGTTTTGTTTTAATATGTCATTTTAAAATTAAGACTTTTGTTATGAAATAGATGTGTGATGAGAAAACTTCAATTACGGGCATAATGGTTCTTCTGGCTCGTTATCGATCCATACATCATGACATACCCGTTATGACATTCTCGTAATTGACATACCCAGTATGATTTGGCAATATTTGACATACCCATTATGATTTGCCCGTAATTGACATACCCATTATGACATTCTCGTAATTGACATACCCAGTATGATTTGGCAATAATTGACATACCCATTATGACATTCTCGTAATTGACATACCCATTATGATTTGCCCGTAATTGACATATCCATTATGACATTTCCTTAATTGACATACCCATTATGAATTGCCCATATTTGACATACCTATTATGACTTGCTCGTAAGTGACATACCCATTATGACATTTCCGTAAGTGACATACCCATTATTATTTGCCCGTATTTGACGTACCCGTTATTACTTGCCCGTAAGTGACATACCCATTATTATTTGCCCGTATTTGACATACCCATTATGACTTGCTCGAAAGTGACATACCTATTATTATTTGCCCGTATTTGACATACCCATTTTGATTTGCCCGTATTTGACGTACCCGTTATGACTTGTCCGTAAGGGACGTACCCATTATGACTGAAACACATTTTACAAGAACGTCTTTTACACCTTGAGAGAGGCAGACACAAACATCTTACATTAATCCTTTTAACAGGAACGTCCGTAACGCAGTGTGAGAGGCGCACACAACAGATCTAGCGTTAATCCCTTTAACAGGAACGTCCATAACACAATCTGAGAGAGACACATAACAGATCTAACATTATTCCCTTTAACATGAACGTCCGTAACACAACCTGAATCCCTTCTACATGTACGTCCGTAACACAATTCGACAGACAGCCTTAGCAGGTTCAGACATATATTCAACACATGGACGATGAGTTAGACTTACCAGTTCCGACCTCAGCCACTTGAGGGCGTCTTGTATCCGGTTTGTCCGTTCCTCCCAAGCCTGTCTGTCCTGTTTTAGTGAGCTTGTAGCTGATAATCCACTCGGATCGGATTTATTAATGTTTCTTGACAGTTCATAGCTCGGGGGGTTTGGAAGGTGTGGGGAGCTGAGATCTATGGGTGACTTTGGGCTTAACGGTGACGTTGGAAGCACCGGCGAGTTCGTTTCGCCATCAAATTCGTTCATTCTGTCTGAGAGAGATGGGAAATCAAAACTACTCATAGAGTTTAATTTACTTCCGCTTCCGGTTACCGTGCTCCGAGAATCAGAATCATAGCCATTCGAAATGTGTCTGCCTTGAGAGTAAGTTCCAAGGTCACGAGAGTTCATGACCTTGCTTGGAAAACATTTGAAATTAGAATCGCTGTCTTTCCAGTTTTTAGATAAATTTGGATTTCCTGTATTAAGTGGCACTGACCTTGGACGGTCAAGGTCATTTAACGTCCGATCACACTTTGAATACATCTCGTGCGGCATTGAATGCCTCTCGTCTTTCAAGAAGTTGTCCTCTAATTTCTTTGATAATTCGGCGACCTTTGAACTATCCGAAGACGAAGAGTTTGTCCTAACATGACCACTAAAGCGACTTTTTGAACTTCCTGGTGAAAACGAAGAATCTGACATTTCTGATAAAGTTTCGTTGGAGTCTGTGGTGTCGTAACTTCCAGTAGAATATGTAGACTCGGATCGTTTCACATTTGTGCGTTTGAATGTATCATTGTCCCGTTCAGAATCCGACAGTGTCGTTCGTTTAAAAGTTGAAAATGTGGGAATGGATGAAAATCGATGTTTTAGATCATTCACTCTCTGATTGCTGTTTCGTCGCCGGGGGTCACATGAAGCTGATGACGATGACGACGATGAAAAAAAGGAATCAATAGGTTTCGAAAATAACTTCATTTTTCGAAAATCTAAATCTCTCCCTGATTTTATATCATCTATCAGTTCATAAGTATCCTTCAAAATGTCGGACTTTAAAGAATCAAAATCCATCATCGTGGTTAATGACAGATATAACGTAGACTTGACGAGAATTCTCTGTTTGTCAGATCTAATGATCGGGAATACAGGACCTGTCTCTTCGCTGTAGTGTAAGATAATCCAGTCATATAGTATAAAGCCTTACTGGAATCACATTATTGTCATTCACATATCGCCCTATTCACAGGGCGCTTTGAAATTCGAAAACAGTAATAAAGATATCACGTATTTATATTGCACATTAATATAGCACACGTGCAATGCTATACATATCTATTGCGCGTGCTTTGTGCTCGCGCTCCCAAAGCAGACTGCCTTGGGTTTGGCAGAGTTTGGCAGAGAGAGGAATTCCATCAGAATGATGGGGATGTCGAGTCAATGGAAATAGGCGTTGATTAACAGCGACGAACTTCTGTGTAACATCCCTTCCAGCTTCTGTATCTCGGTCTACCGTCCATTGTGTGGTAGGTACTACAGCACATTAACCCAGTCATCGTGGAGGACGTTTCGCTCTCCGCGATCTAGTCAACGAATGTGCATAACAGTGCACGATATGTAACCATTGACTCCGAGTATTTGGCGTTATCTGATGAAAATATCAGCTTCTGCGGAAGAAAACGGAAATGGCATTGTTAGTGTTGTTTGGTAATAAACCAAAGGAAATAATGCTGGTTTCATATACGTGCATTCATATAATCCTGGACAATACAGACAACGTTTATCTGAAAACAAAATATAGTGTGTTCACGATCCTACCATAACTGACATGATATTTTCTGGAGTAATATCTAGACAAAAGGAGGTGAGATAAAAACCCATAGTTCTTTACAAATAGGAGTAGGTTATCTGTTGTTTCAAATACTTTCTCAACATCAAAATACGAAAATTACAATCAAAGCTATATACAAATGCGCCTGCTTGTAAAGTGTGTGTTAAACAGGAACTATAAACACATGTATGAAATATTTTCTATGTATTAAAAATTCTGACATCTTTTTACACATCATCATCTGATAATAACGGTGAACTTGGGACACAGAACAGACATTTGTCCTTGTAATACAGTTTTTTCCATGTTGGTAAATCTAGAATAGATTTTCTTATATCACTAAAACCTTCATCAGACAAGTGACTTGTGTGAAGCACAATAGCGCTGGTCATTTCCATTTCGTACACTCTATAGCTCAGTCAAATACGCTTCAGACTGGTAATTTAACATATTGGTATGATGAAAGTGACAGTGTGGACATCGAATGGTCATTTATAACTTTCTTACTGGTTGTGATATAAGACCTCACTCTGTAAGGATCGATTGCGGTCCAATAACACAAAATGGCCACTCGGTATTGTCACGGTTTCATCGGAACTTTGTTTGTGGATAAATAAATAAATCTAGGATGAATTGTCCACTAACAAAAAAACGGGTTACGTTACGGGAAGGCTTCAAACAATTTTATAGTAAAAGTGGGCCAAATTGATGGCACATAGATGAAAGAATTTAAGTTGTGTTTGGAATGTTAAGACGGATTACTTAAATAGTTGTCTTTAATGTCTCGCTATCTATATGAACCTTGTATATCTAAAAGTGCGCAAAATGGTTGAACTTGAACAATTCTAAAAATCTCAAATACCATCGATGATGAGTATTCAAGATTACACACAATATGTATTCTGATTTTACGCTTGCATAAACGTGTTTACCAAACGCGCGCATACCGATTACACACCGTGAAAATAACGAAAGTGATGCGCAGAAGTTTGTATACATCAAATATTCTACTAAGGTACATACATAACACGCGCATCTCTGTACTCACTCCGGCATCCTCTATATCAGTATCATATACTCCTGTAAAGTACGTGCATTATACAAAATAGCAACTTGTTCAGAACAGGAAAGGTACAATGAGCTAGATAGGTTACTTACTTCAGAGACGTATAAAACGTTTATCTGTGTATGTTTTGATGATCTCATCACTGATCTGGAATTTGAAGATTGAGGTGTGATATTGGAATATTACAAGTAATACGAGATGCATTGAACCACCAATAAGTAATTCCATGACATAATTATCTTGTGTGTTGTAATATTGTCTATGTAGACCGAGATTACACGGGACTTACGAAACCAGTCATTAGTGGGTGGTCCACGTTCCTAACGACTGATTAGATCAATATATCTTCAATAATCATAATATTCACCTATTTCGATAAAATCACAAAATCAACGTCATCATTTCTTCCCTAATATACAGGTGACTCCGTCCAAATTTTGGAACCCCCCTCCCAAAAAAAAAACCCCAAAAAAACCAAAGAAATGTTTAGTTTGTATTACTTCTAGTTTCTTTAGTATAAAAACTAAGTATATTTGATATTTTCGTATTTAATAAAAAGATAGAACTTAAACTATGTTATTCTCGAATCATTCTTCTACATCCTTCATGTAAACAGTAACAGATCGTGAGGCATGGAAAACATATAGACCTATTGAGCTAAAACTCAAATTAAAGCCGTCGTCTCGCATCGTGACGTAATGTTTTAACCACGTGCTCTGACAAATCTTTGCTTCATTACTACAAGTCACGTCTGCGTGACCGGTCCAGCTGATCTGTACATGTGATATTCACATTGGACAAGGACAAAATAGCTTATTCGACTGACTTGCCAGTACTCCGTACGGTAACTGGAACTCGGCACAGCAGGTTATGGCGGTAAAACCATGTTGATGCTATGTGTTTCCTGGACCTCAAACGTCGACGTTACGAATGAGACGAGTTAACAGACAGTAATCTGACTCAAAAACATTATAGCATTATGTTTTGGTGTGCAAACGGACTGAACACATGGTTTAGTGTAGACCCACTTACCAGCAGAAACAATTACATTATAATTGGTCATAAACACAAGCTGCAATAAACATCTCCCACCGAAGATTCTATTTCTCCTAAGCTTTGTGGCAAAGCAACTTTGTTCTTTGTAAATAGATAACACATCTTTGACAAAAACTGCACAATTGCTGGAAACCATGGAAACGCTCTAAACAACTTGACATCAAGAGAAGCCAAAACTATTTAGCCACTTCCGTAGATGTCACAGAGTAAATTTCCAAGACAACGCCAACAAAGCATTGATAAATACATGTAGATAGGAATATAATGCTTTACGTCAGAGATAGATATCCATGTCTTACACATAACATAAAGTAGATAAATGGGTGGTGGGGATTGGAGGTGTGAGGGGGTGTGTGGGGCTGGGGGAGATATCCATGTCTTACACAAAACATAAGACAGATAATTGGGTGGTGGGGATTGGAGGTGTGAGGGGGTGTGTGGGGCTGGGGGAGATATCTGTGTCTTAAACATGACATGAGATAGTTAAATGGGTGGTGGGGATAGGGGGAGGGGTGTGAGGGGGTGTGTGGGGAGGAGAGAGATATCCGTGTCTTACACATAACATAAAGTAGATAAATGGGTGGTGGGGATTGGGGGTGTGAGGGGGTGTGTGGGGAGGAGAGAGATATCCATGTCTTACACATAACATAAGATAGATAAATGGGTGGTGGGGGTGGGGAGGAGAGATATCTGTGTCTTACACATAACATAAGATAGATAAATGGGTGGTGGGGATAGGGTGTGTGTGGGAAGGAGAGATATATCCATGTCTTACACATAAGATAGATAAATGGGTGGTTGGGGTGGGAAGTTACCGTGCCTTGCACGTGAGATATCATACGAAAATATTACAAGTGAGATCCGGATGACGTAACTATATAGATCACTAATAGGATCTGCATTTACATATTAATCGTTACCATGGTCACATGTGTACATAATTATCTTGCTCCATACATGCATTTGTTGGCTCCATTTTTTCTTTACAATACATATGTGTCTGGCACGTGTACTATAACGACAATATATGTTTTTATGCTTTGTGTCTTATATCGCTACCGTATATACATAGGGCCTATATTGCTCCCTCACATCTGAATATAACACGTATCTCTACATATGTACCTCACGTGCATTACGCGAGGAGTGTCGACGAACTACGTCCTAGAATAGCTTCCGTATTGATGAACACAAGGCTTACTGCACAGTGCGGTTGGTCGTACATATCCGTGGTAACGGACCATTAGCAGATCGAGACCAATACATATCCGAACTCGTTTAATTTGATGAGCAAGAAGCATGAATTAACCTGAATTCCGTCAGTTAGCTCCAACCACGATGGACGGTGATATATACACATGGTGTTATTATTTTAGAGATAATTGTATATAATATAGACAACTTCGATGTCGTGTAAATCTGAGATATTTATCGCCATGTATATTAAAACAGATTCACTTCGGAAGTCACGTGACTATATTTTTTACTGCCATGTGACCATTCAAATAGTTCAACCCATTTCCAATGACACTATATTTTTTTATTGCCATTTGAAACTTTTTTACAGCTATGAGACCCGACAAAAGTGGACGAAGTCCCATGTGACATGTGAGAAAGAAAAGGCTACATATTCCATCATTGCCTGTTCTTAGGTTTTGACAGTTGCGACCAAGAACTGTGTTGTGTATATGTAATGGGTGAAGTGATGGGAGGTAATTGTTTGGTCTTGTCGCTCCATCGCTCACAGGATTAGGTACAATTCAGCATTTAGTATTACTTATATTGGAACTCTTTTATATGAAAAGTTACGAAAAAGGAAAATAAAATAGAGAGAGAAGAACTCAGCACTCTTGACAGGTTAGTTTATCGTCATTTGTTACCATACCAAATTCCCCTATCACCGCTGATCGTAACTTTCTAAACATGACGAAGAAATCCTAAGCAGGTTCATCTTGTAAGCCAACGATGTTCAGTACGATAATGTTCTTTCTAGTGAAGAGATCGTAAGCAATCGTTACCATTGGAAGATCGAGGATGAAGCATGTATATACAGAACCACATAGCCTACATTACACCAATGGTGTCTGATTACTGTCCTTTTCCACTGTCGCGTTGGTGATACGTCAGCGGGACAGTAGTGATTACGCGAAAAAATCAACTTCCTGGTCGTGTTTGCGAATATCCGACAGTATCAAAATTTCGTTTTTTTTCTATATATATATATATACTAAAGACATATAGACGATATTGATTTCTTGATACAAAATGAAATTTATGTCTTTCAACCTTATCCTTTCAAAACGTTTTACCGATTTCAAAATCGTCATGAATGAGAACATTTCTACAGGAAGATATGACGAGAAAAACTGAAGGAGGAAGTAGTCCTTCTATGTGCTCCATTCAGACAAGTTAACAAGAGATTGGCAGTACTGTTACTAATAGCATATCAACCTATTTTAAAAAGTCTGGTAAGTTATGATAAAATCAGTTCCTGGTGTCAATTTACTTTAGTAAGTTGATTAGTTAATCAAAGCTGTGGGTATGTCTAGCAA